AAACTTAGGCAGTTTAATCTCTTCAGGGATGAAGACCCTTTCCATATTCCTAAACTAACACCAACAGTCTTTCTGGTTTGTGATGGAGGTAAAACTCCAGGCTGCACGCCTCTCCACTCTGTTCCCCTCCCCCATCCCTGTAGCCCCACACTATTTTCTGTGAACACTGCAGTTTTAAGGAGTCCACTGTAAACAGTATTTTACTCCAGCTTTCAGAGAAGACAGATCCAGGGATATAGAGTCCCTAGCATTTCCTCTGCCAACACTACTTATGCCTCATTGTGGCTTTAGCTCAGCTTAACTATGAAAAGCAACATGGTTGTGGATGCCTCCATGCCCATTCTGTTCCCCGTATGAACTGTAATAGTGAATTTGAGATTTAAGGTTCATGGATGAAAATAGACTATGGGTCTACAATCCTCTAATCCCCAAAGCTTTGAGAGCCAAAAGCTTCTTAATTCATGCAGTGCTTTCAGTCCTGAACCTCTGAGCAACAGTGATCTCAGTGGAAACCTCAGATGGGAGGTAAACTCTTTGGGACCTGTAGGGAAAACCCACGATGTCCCAGGTGGGTGGCTGAGGGCTCTTCATTCAATCACCTTAGTGGCTGAGCTCTTCTGGTTGTGTGTGAGACGGAGAACTAAACAGAACCAGGGAGCACTTTCTGCCTAGTCGTAGCCTCTCAAAGTGCTTAGGAAGCTAAGAATCTGAGAGGCATGGCCAGAAAGCTTAGGGTCTTTGTTTATCTTTAGAGGATCCTTTGTCAAACTGTCTGGCTCCTCACCCATCTTTCTCTCCAGTATCTTTTAGACAAGCAGGGACATCTTGGTACCCATTGTCTTCCTTGTGTAAATTCTTTGTCTTTGTTAATGGAGGGTCATGTGTGTTGTGGTGACATATAGCCTTCTGAGTCCTGGGCAACATGGACACATGTAAGATATGAAAAGGTAGAAGCTAAACTCCTTTCTGCTTTGGGATACTGAAGTGAGCAGATAAAAATGCTTATGTCTGTCCTCATCCATGTCCTGAGCCAAACCTCCAGGATTTTAACATAACCTATTACTGCTGATGGCTTGTGTATTACAACTAAATCCAGAGTCTGGAATGACTATGAACTGTTTATTAGCCTTAGCATGTTATATCCTGGCTTTATCCCCAAGGAAGCTTGAGTGTCTATAAAATCTATCACACCAGAATCATTTCTGAGGAGGTTCTCTCCCACAGACTTAATTCTGCAGCTTGCTCTCTGCCTGCCTGCCTTCTGCCTTTCTTTCTTTCTTTCTTTCTTTCTTTCTTTCTTTCTTTCTTTCTTTCTTTCTTCCTTCCTTCCTTCCTTTCTTCCTTCCTTCTTTCCTTTCTTTCTTTCTTCTAAATGTCTCTCCAAATCTGACTGCAGGCTTATCACCCTCACTATATAGAGTTCAGTGGTGATGCTTTGGGCTCACTTTGACTTACCCTTCAGAATGAAAGCCCTTAAAGTGACAGTCTCTCAGCCTTTACCATATCCTAACTGCAACGAACTTTCTCTGTGTGTTTCATTTTATATCCTTTTTCTAACCAAGCCCTGCCATTCCCATCATCCTCAAAGCTGAAGGGTATAGAGCCATAGCAAATGGCCCCTGGAACAATTACCTCCAGCTTAGAGAATACAGAGAACATTCTGCGAACACAGCGGCAATGGGAGAGAGGGAGGAGGCAGCCATGTACCTCACCCTTGGCTTATTGGTATTTAAAAAAAAAAACAACTGATGCTCACCTCTTGTTCTCTTTGTAACTTCCTAGTATTTTTTATTCAATAAAATATTTGTAGAATGAATAAACATTATGAAATGTTGGTAGGAAATATCATCGAATTGTATTGCTTTGTAGCTAAGTTCTAGCTTGCTAAATGTTTAAGAGCAGGAAGCCTCATAGAGTTTTAAAAGCAATATACATAGTACCTGAAGGTAACCACACAGTGTGGCAATCTTGACTTGGGTCAAATTTTAATCTCTTTGGGAATTAGCCACAAAGTGCAGAATTCTCCCAGACAGAAGGGTGCAGTTGACACTAGGGAGACCAACTAGAGCACTGTGTGTTTCACACAAGAGTTCCAGTCTGTGCTTGCCTCTGCCCTGACTGTTCCTGTGCCAGCTTGCCCCAGCTGCAAGTACTGAGAGGTAGCAGGAAATCTGAAGGCTTTCTGCTTGCAACCACCCTCCCCCAGCCAATCTGCATGCACCCCAGGCCTCATGCTGGGTTTTGCAAGTCTATGCAGTGTGTTTAAGGGAGGCCTTGAAGGGACAAGAGCTGAACTTTTTTTCACAAAGCAATCTGGTCCTGCAGAAGGATAGACATGCTAAAGATGGAAGCACCTGGACTGTCCTGGCCATGGAGGGCCTCCGTGGAGCCTTAGTTCACACCTCTGTAAACAGTGTGCTCATAATGAAGTGAAGCAACTGAACTCAGGAAGGCAGAGTCAGGTCTGTGGCTCTAGCTTGCTCTCCTCTGGTCCCATCACTGAATTAAAAATGGCACTCCGTTGCCTCCTAACCAAGCTTTCTTGATGCCTTTGACTTGTCTTTGGAGCTGGTTTGCAAACACCCATTTTCCAAAGGAAGCATCGTTGTTAAGACTTGGAACCATTATCAGTCCTTCCTTTCTGCTCTCTCCTTGTCAAGCCACTTGCTCTTTGTGATAGCAGTGTCACCCTTGGGTAAAGCTGTAAATGTGATCAGGAGATGTTATTACACAATTAGGGTTGTCTGAATATTGTTGGCAATATGCAAAAAAAAGTCCAGAGGCCTGCCCCTTGTGCTTCTGACCTAGCTAGGTTCATTAATCCTGGACTGATTCCATTGACCCAAGATCACAATTCCAGCCACCATGTCCAAAATTTTTTTTAGACATAAGAAGGATTTAATTGCATTTATTTACTTATATATTTATGCATGTATATGTGTACATACATGTGCCATAGCATGCTTAGGAGGTCAGAGGACAATTTATAGTTCTTTCCTACCCTATAGGTTCCAGAAATAAAACTTACGTCTCAAGGTTGTCAGCAAGTGTCATTTCCTGCTGAACCATCTCACCTCTGGGGCCAAGAAGTAGAAGGGATTAAAGGGAAGGAAAATGAGTTTCCTGTTATTTTAGAGATATAGCCATGCATCACATGATGATAGAGAAGTCCTAAGAACTGCAGTGTTGAGCAATCCATTGCTCATTTACTTAAAGCACACAGCGACGTTGTCTTAGTTACTGTCCTGTTGCTGTAATGAGATACCATGGCCAGAGCAACTTATAAAAGGCAGTTCTCAATGGGGGCTTGCTTACAGTTTCAGGGGGTATTCTATGATGGTCACTGTGGGGAGCATGGCATCTGACAGAGAGGAAGGCACTGAGCCAACAGCTGAGAGCTTCCGTCCTAGTCCACGTGCAGACACCAGTTAGAGAGGGGGTGGAAGAGACTGCCACCGGGCTTGGTGTGGGCTTTTGAAACTTCCTAATCCTTCCCACACAGTTCCACTAACTGGGGACCAAACATTAAAATTTTATGAGCCTATGGGAGTCATTCCCATTTAAACCACCACAGTGGTTTAGCGGACTTCATGCCTGTGCTATGTGAGCTAGCCTGTTGATTCTAGGCTACCTTTATACAGCATGGTACTTTCACTAAATACTGTAGGAAGCTATAACACAATGGCAAGTATGTATGTATCCAAATGTATCTAAACATGGAAAAGGTGCAGAAAAATATACCTGTAAAAGATTAAAATGATGCCTCTATATAGGATGATTATTATGGATGGATTTTCAGGATTAGAAGTTGCTGAGTAAGCTTGTAAGTAAATGATAAGTGAAGGCTAAGGCCTAGTACATTGCTGTCCCTTTAGAAACACTGTATATTATTGAACCCTTGATTTAGAAAAAGTTTATTAAAATATTTGTCTTCAATGATGAATTATCCTTATTTTTTTTAAACATTAAAATTTTTTGTGTGTTTCCTTTCACCATGGGTTTCAGGGCTTGAACCCAGGAGGTCAACTTGGTAGAAGTACCTGTTATCCACTGAGCCATCTGTGGATGGCTCATTTTTAAACATGTAAACTCTGATAAGAACTTAAAGCACATGCTGTATAGCTACACAAAAATATTTTCTTTATATGCTTACTCTATACACTTTTCTCGTGTGTGTGTGTGTGTGTGTGTGTGTGTGTGTTTCCTAAGAACTAACACATAAACTCACACCTTCTCCTGGGTCTATAGAGGGTCAGGCCCATCACTATTTTACCCTATGGGCACTAATGTGCATGCAGCTATCCTCTGCAACAGTAAGGCCTTCTGGATTCTCTTCTGAAGGAGGAGACTGGAGCTTTCTCTGGGTCAGGTTCTTCCTTCCTTCATACTTTTCAGAAATATGCCCATGGTGGCTTAGCTGCTCTGTTTCTTCTTTTCAATCAGATATTTCTCTGTGAACACCCCTCTCTGTCAGTGAGGACATCTTGGTATTGGGTGTCCATGTTCTCCAGTGCATTCCTGAACTACTTGAAGTCTGAAATCTTCTCCTAAACCTAACACCGCCAATTTTCTTAGAGGTGTTTCTTTTTCTTCTGCAGTTTTCTTTTGCTGGTTAGTCAGCTGTATGTTTTCTAGATGCTGGGAATTATCTAGCTCCATTATAATTTTATGGTCACCTTTGGGGATGAGGTACATGTTGACAAACTGACTAAAACATTACTGGCCAGCATGTGATTGGATTTCTTAGAAGCTATATAATCCTTTTCTCTTTGTATTCTACTACCTGGAACCTGGTATCTCAGCTGTGCCTCTCTGGAAGAAAGGCTGGAAATCTAGTGTTCAGTTTTAGTTTGTTGACCAGTGAAGGACTCGGCTACTGTTGTTCACTGCCCCCTAAAATATTACAATCTGCAGCTGTCCATATCCTTGGGCTTTGGGGAACGTATATCTCTAACTTACCTTCTTTGCATACATTGCTCAATGTTCCTTCCTCATCCTAGGGAAAAAAGCCAAATGTGATAATTCCCAATTCCAGTGCACAAATGGCCGCTGCATTACTCTGCTGTGGAAATGTGATGGAGATGAAGACTGTGTTGATGGCAGTGATGAAAAGAACTGTGGTAAGTAAAGACTTCAGCAGTCTCACTGGTTACCACTCTTTGATTTGTGATTGGACTTACGCATTTTATTGAAAAGTGCAGATGGTCTTTTAGTTTCTACAAATGTATTGAGAATCTGTAAATAAAATCCACTTAAAAGTATTGCTGTGAATCAGAGTCCCATGAATCTATACTGATCAGGAGGCATATACTGAATATTTGACATGACGCAATTGAAAGGTTTCCATACCCCGATGTTTATTAAGTTTCTCTGCTGATGCAGTAAGCCAAATCTAGCTGGATTAAAAATAAAGAACTAGGTTTAACCTGAGCAGAGCACTTCTGGGTGACTCTGGGGGGGGGCAAGGGAGCAGGAGAGAAATCACATGGCTTCCCTGTTGGTGTGGTCTTGAGCTTTGCAGGAGGAGCCTAGACTTTTGGCGGTCTTTCTGAGGGGGCAAGGTTTGGAGAGGGAAGACCTTTTTTCAGTTGTTATTTCGTTTTAAGTGGCAAGGCTACCAAGAAATCATGTATCAGACCAAAGCCAGCCCCAATCCCCACCTATTTTTATACTACCTGTTACAGAAGATTTTATTATCTAACTCAGCAGAGACACCGGAGTCATTGTAGGAGCAATGACTGGATTTTCTTAAATCCTTTCTGCATAAATACTGTTTACCAGCTCCACGGTAGAAGGGCCTGGGCAAGGGAAAGAGGCAGATGAACAGCACAGTGCATCAAGATCACCTGAGGTGGCTTAAATTGAACACATCGATGGACAGAGTCCTTGCTGGATCCTAGGTGTGGAGGCAAACAGGGAAAGTGCAAGCATAGCCAAAGCAATCTCAGCCCAGTATTTGAGGGCAGTGGTGGTGCACACCTCTAATCCCAGCACTCGGAAGGCAGGGGCATTCGGATCTCTGTGAGTCGAGGCCAGCCTGGTCTATAAAGCTACACAGCGAAACCCTGTCTCCAAAAAAAAAAAAGAGTGTTTGAAAGGGAGGAAAAACTACATTTTTACTCAAAACTTCCAAAGCGTTCTTCCAACTTCCCCATCTAACCTTCGACCCATAGTCGATTATAATTTTGGGGATGACTCACTTTTGAGCTTGACAACTAGTATAATCAATTTAATTGTACATTCCATTTGTCACTTGCTTCTGTGAGTTCCCAAAGTAAGTATCTTATGGCTTCCCTCCCTTGTGCAACACTTTCTATCTGCATGTATGTGTGTGGTTTGAATATCTTTTCTTTGCCCTTATAGTGTACATTCAGAAGTGAGAAAGATGAACTCTGTGAAGATGTGTCCTTTTTATCCTTGCTCAGACTCTCTGTGCCATAGCTGATCTTTCATATCATCATGGTATTTTTCACTTTGCAAAACCATCTTCTTTCTCTATGGCCATTTCCCTGTTCTCTCTTTTGCAGCGTACAGAGATGATCATGGGTTGAATTACTACAAGAAGCCCTATAGCCTGGTCTCTGTTTCCATATGGGCCCAGGAGAACACCAGCCTTGTATAGCACTTTCTGTGTTAGCACTGTATAATGGAGATTTAGAAATGGGGTGAATTTACGAGCTGGCATGGCTTTCTATGGTTCCTTAGCTATATAGTTCAAGGATATGAATAATCCCTTAGGGGGCATCATAATTCATCAATCCATGCTGAATTTTACAAACTATCTCCCCAGTTTAAAGGTTAAATGAGAGTAGCTTAAGAGTAAGCCCTAGCCTCCAAGAGACCTCTACCTATTTTTGAACCCCATATGCCAAGGGATCTCTTTTAAATTTGCAGCACACTTCAGGCTTTAGGTGATTTACAAACACAGACTATTGATTAGAAGGATGCTTTAAAATGAAAGTTTAAGCAGAAAGTATAGACATAGAGGTATGGAGGAATTTTAAAAAGATAATCACAGGATGTGGGTGTCTTCTCTGGCTACTTTGGCAAAACATCCAGATTCTGGGACTCCTTCAAGGGTACTGTAACCAAGCTGCCTGGTTTGTTTGTCTTTACTTTCCTAGTCTAATGAATGGATGACTCGATGTATTGTGACTCGAAGTCCTGCCCTAGGAAGAATTAGTAGTGGAATTGATATTTTGCCTTAGGCTATTTGAATGGGAGTTGTGAATTATGGACCTTAGCACTGGCAGCTTCAGTGACTTTAAGTTGGTTTATGTTAAACCAAACCTTGGCCGAAGGCCTGAAATCTCTTTGAATTCCAAGTTCTGCCTCTTGTTGTAAGTGTTATAATTGTCATTAAGTTTGTCTAGTGGATGAGTTCCTCTGCCCTGGCAGACCCATCAGAGTGGCAGTATTTAGTTCAGAAGCCTCAGCACACCTCTGTACTAAGTGCATGTATTGTGAAGAATGTCCCTGCAACAGTCTTGGTTTAGACCCCTGTGACAAAAGTACCATAGGGAGGGGTCTTAAATGATGGAGATCTTATTTTAGGGTTCTGGGTGTTAGGAAGTCCCCAAACTAAGAAGTGGTAGACCCAGTGTCTGACAAAAGCCCTACTTCTGAGTTTCAGGTGGCTGCTTTCTTCCCGGGTCCTCCATGGTAGACGAGAGTGAGGGAGGACAGGAGAGGGATGAGGGGGAAAGAGAGAGGGAGCTAGAGAGAGGGACAGAGGGAGGAAGAGAGAGAAAGAGGGGGAGAGGGGACAAAGGAGGGAGCGCAAAGGAGAGGGAGAAAGGAGAGGGAGAAAGGAGAGGGAGTGAGAAGAAGAGAGGGGGAGAGGAAGAGAAAGCAAGGACAAATAAGCACTAATGTTTCTAACGGGTACCAATCCCACCTGTGAAGGCTTCATTCTCACGGCCTAATCACCTCCCAAAGTTCTCCCTCCTAGTACATCGCTGAAGGGATTTCAGGATATGAAGTTTACTAAGACACACATTCACTCCACTGCAAACAGTTATCCTAAGGGCCATCATAGGATGGGGTGTTTGGTTGTTAAAATCTTTTCTGTGGTTTGTCTCCTCTGGAGCTCGTGATGAAGTGTGATTTTGAATAGTATGGTGTTGAGAGGTGGCAGGGCACTTGCCAAGTGATTAGATCAGTGAGAGGGAATAAATCCTTTCTCCTGGACAGGATCAATTACTAAGAGAGTGGGCTAGGAAGCAAGGCATGAGGCCCTTACCTAAAACTAAGCAGGTGCTAGTGGTGTGCCCTTAGGATTCCCAGAATTCAGAACCTTGAGGTGAAAGAAGTTCTTTCCTTTATAAATTGCCCACTCTTGAGAGTTCCATTTTAGGGACAGAAAATGGACTTGGAGAAAAACACCTCAGAGTTTGTGAATGAGTTGGAAGAAGTCCACGGTGTTAACACTGTAAACCGACAAGTTCATTTTAAGATGTTCTTAGCATTTGTCTTCCCTTGACTTTATTTTCCTTCAAGTCTCTCCAATGTATACACCCCTGCTCTGAAACTTAAAGGGGAAAAAATGAGCTTTCTAAAGTCTCCCTACATGCTGACAGTTGATTATCAGTCAACTGATTCTGCATTAGTTTTAAAGGAAAACATACCAAAATATAGTTCTTACCCTAATTTGAAAGTTGGAGTCTGGGGTAATTGACTTCAATTCTAACTTGGAGAATTAAATTCTTGTAGTGAAGAAGACATGTGCTGAGTCTGACTTCGTGTGCAAAAACGGCCAGTGTGTTCCTAACAGATGGCAGTGCGATGGGGACCCTGACTGTGAAGATGGTTCTGATGAAAGCCCAGAACAGTGCCGTGAGTGTGCCTCACTTGCTTTGGACTTGATCTCTTTCATGCTGTTCTATCTCTGTTCTAAGTGATGCTTTATCGATTGCTTGGCATTCATTTTTCTTTGCCTGCCTTGAACCTGAGGCCAACTGACTTGAAGGTCATTTAAGCTATTAACAGTTATTCCATCTCCTTTAAAGACTGCTCTCTCTAGTCTAACAAGACTGACATTCTCTTGGGTAGCTTCGCCATTGAATACTTAAGACTGATACTAGCACATTCAATTAAGAACTCCTTGACTAGGTGCATAGATTTCAACTGTTTGACAATACCTAAGTACATGGTCCCCTGATCCTGGAATTTAAGTCAAGATGTGAGAGTTTCCTAAAGGTTACACATAAGCTTTGAAATGCACAGATGTTCATATCATGAAAACATGCTATTATAAAAACAGCAAGATGATGAGTAATAGGGTCATTTGGGGATTTTTAACAAATTTGTAACCTAATGCAGGGGCCATAGAGTTTGCTAATGAATAAGAAAAGCTCCATAAAGGCACAAATATATCTCTCTGCCTGTAGGCTAGTTTGCAGGGGAAAGTCCCAAAACCACAGAGAAAGGAGTGATGGAATCTAATAAATTGGGATCATTTGTGTGCTAAGGTGCAGAAAAGTCTGGAGATTCATTCAGTAGAGGCCTGCTGACACAGAAGAAATAGTACTGACACAAACCAAGTTTACATTAAGGATATAATTATTCAAATGACCAAGGTGGAACTTGCATTTTTCTAGAATGAAGTGAGCGATTTTGTCAGGGAATTAGAAACCTGAGGGTCCTAGACAGGATCTACACAGATTCAGCCCCATGTTTCATCAGTTAGTGACATGGTAAAATTATGTCACTATTCATGCTTTGCATATATAAAGAAAAATGTGAATGGATGCCTAGGAAGGCTACTATTTCATGGAAGGTCTTATAGGTATTAGCCCATCTGACCTTTAATGGAGTCAGAATTAGGTGACAATATTTGGTGTGCCCACTGATAGCCAAACATAAGTAATGGACTAGGAGCAGGCCAACCAATCAACTGTGCCAAGTAAAACAAAAGCCAGAACTGAGCATGCCGCAGAACCTTGAAGGAGTGACATGGTCAAGGTTCTCGGGTACCCTGCCAGGTGGCCTTGTTTGGCATAACTTCTAAGGACGGAGCTGGCGAAGGATCTGCCTGGCTTCCACTAGTCAGTGTGCCCCATGTACCTGACCACTGAGTCCCAGGTGTTGCACTTCCAGGCAGCACGGGAGCAGCAACTTTGCACTGACCAGTTTGGAGGCTCTTTTGAGACTGTATGTCATCAACAGATATGAGAACATGCCGCATAAATGAAATCAGCTGTGGCGCCCGTTCTACTCAGTGTATCCCAGTGTCCTGGAGATGCGATGGTGAAAGTGATTGTGACAATGGAGAAGATGAAGAAAACTGTGGTAAGAAGACTGGTGTGAAGTGGCATACCCCAAAGACCCTTTTCCTAAAGAAAGGTGGGCAAGGGATGCTAACTTAAGCCAGAAAGCAGACGGCCACTGAGTCGGTTTTCAGTAGCTTTGCTGTCTGCTCAATATTGGTCCTCCTAGCCACCGTAAAACTGTGAACCACCTTTTCCTGGTAATTGGCCACTTGCCTGGTGTATCCTCTAGGCAGATAGAAGCAAGCAGGCAAGTCATCTTGGTGCTTATATTCAGCGTAGTATATTTAGCATAGCTTAGTAAGGCAGCGGCTATGTGGGCTTTTTTCTTTTATGACAGTGATTCGTGGGCCTTCCTTACATTTGGCTCAATAGAACTAGAAGGTGATGGGGCCAGCAGACACATTCAAAGATTTAGTTAGATTAGTTTCTTGGAATAAGTTTACTTGAGTGTGACAAAGTGTTTCTGCCAACTAGAATTTATAGTTACGTTAGCATAGAAACATGGTCAGCAGATACCTAAGGCCTATCTAACCTTTGTGTCCTATGATTCCTATCTCTGAATGCTAGCTCTGTTTCCTACTCTTTCATACTTATATTCTTGGAGTGTCTATAATGAAGCGTTCCATGTAAAAGGTGAAATCTGAAGGTTGAAAAACATTGCTTTGAGTGTATCTAAATCTGAGTCTGAGGAGCCTAATGTCAAGCTGTAGTAGTAGCCAAGGGAGTTCAGGGTCCTTGCAGATGAAATGCTAACCTGGAACTCAGGGTCCTTGTAGGTAAAACACTAGTCTGGAGCTCAGGGTCCTTGCAGGTGAAACACTAGTCTGGTCTGTACAAGTCAGTTAGTGGAGGCAATACCACTGCACCTAGTCCAATGAGTTTCATGCTCAGTCATAGAACTGAGCTTCATACATTGCCATGGCAAGCCCTGGAGCTGCAAAACATTTCCCTTGCAAATCTACACTTTGCTTCCCAAGAGAGTCGTGGTCTCCTTTTTACCAATTATCACCAAATTGTGACTTTGGTCTGTTTGGCAGGAATTTAAATCAAAACCTAAACTCACTACTGTGACTACCTTGTCATTATTAGCATGCAGAGTTGCTAGGCTGTGATTCTGGTCCTAGCAGTGATTAAAAATAAAACACTGAAAATTATTAAGATGGTATTCCTAATATTTATTTAAAGGACCCAAAAGAAAGGAACCATGTAGACTGTTCTATGGTTTGTTTCTTTTTGGATAGTGCCTTAATACCCACTATACCTTGCCCACGTATAGCTGATGCATATTCTCAGCTAGTGATGTGATTTGGGCTGACATACAATAGGTTGGTCTAGGTATAACTCTGCCTTCCAAAATGAAGTCGCTGATACCAGCTTACGCTATTGATCACTGTCCCTTTAAGTGTCAGTTGTGGTTCTCATCTCAAATTAGTTTCTAGCCGTATACTGTTTTCTTGGTCCTTTATTTCTGCTCTTATACATAGTATGGCTGCATCTTATTTTATACTGTGAAACTGTTTTGTCATATTTCAGACACTTGCTCTCAATATAACAGCACTATAGCTTTTAAGTTAGAAGGCTAAAATCAATCATCAAAGATCAATATATTTGATTTGGTGATAAGAGTCTTATATTTAAAAAAATGCTGATGCACCTTCAATGGAACATCTTCCCTCTAACAGGCAACATCACATGCAGTGCTGATGAGTTCACGTGCTCCAGCGGCCGCTGCGTCTCCAGGAACTTTGTGTGCAATGGCCAGGATGACTGTGATGATGGCAGTGATGAGCTGGACTGTGCACCACCAACCTGTGGTGCCCACGAGTTCCAGTGCAGCACCTCTTCCTGCATCCCCCTCAGCTGGGTGTGTGACGACGATGCAGACTGTTCCGACCAATCAGATGAGTCTCTTGAACAGTGTGGCCGCCAGCCGGTCATACACATGAAATGTCCTGCCAGTGAGATCCAGTGTGGCTCTGGCGAGTGCATTCACAAAAAATGGCGGTGTGACGGAGATCCGGACTGCAAAGATGGCAGTGACGAGGTCAACTGCCGTAAGTAACTTTCCAGTCCTCGGCCACGTCTTGGCTGGGGACCGCCTGGCTGGCTTCATTCCTTTGTGTTGCCCCCTTTCACAGCTTCTCGGACCTGCAGACCTGACCAATTTGAATGTGAAGATGGTAGCTGCATCCACGGCAGCAGGCAATGCAATGGCATCCGAGACTGTGTGGACGGCTCTGATGAAGTCAACTGCAAAAATGGTGAGGTTCTCGCCATCGTGTTCGCATGGACCATTGGTTTCTCTGGTCAGACCAACAATGGAACTTCTCCCCTGTGTTTGGTTTTGTAGTCAATCAGTGCTTGGGCCCTGGAAAGTTCAAGTGCAGAAGCGGGGAATGCATAGACATGAGCAAAGTGTGTGACCAGGAGCAGGACTGCAGGGACTGGAGTGATGAGCCCCTGAAGGAATGCAGTAAGTGAGGGGCTTGCTTGAGGCCAAGGCTGGGAGGTTCCATGCAGTCCATCGGTGCTAATGCTGTTTAGACCTTGCTTGATGGTCCATTGAACTCAGAATGAACTAAAATGTAATATAAGCTTGATGATACAGCATTATGACATGAGATTCTACCCAGTAACAAATTAACCCTGAGTTTAGGAACTCCTTAAAATAACTAAAAATAATAGCAAAACGAGTAAATACTGTATAACTGGCAGGTAGCCTATCATTCAGCCTGAAATATTTATCTACAAAACAAATAATCAGATCTTAGCAAGGTCTTCAGCAGCCTAAGTCTAAATGTGAATAAGACAGCTATCAATTAAGAATAAGATGTCATACTAATTTGGACCCTGGGTTATAAAACAGGAAACAAAATGAGCACTTGAAGTTGGGAGGGACATATGTCTGTGTAGCATCTTCAGAAAGTTGGATGGGGAGTGGGGCGATATATTTGATCAAAATACATTTTGTATTTCTTTGTAAAAGTCTCATAGGATAAATCTGAAACAGTGTATTAAAAACAAAGAATAAGCTACCAGTAACTTTTGCTATGCTTTTATTCCAGATATCAATGAGTGCTTGGTCAATAACGGTGGCTGCTCCCATATCTGCAAAGACCTAGTTATAGGCTATGAATGTGATTGTGCAGCTGGGTTTGAACTGATAGATAAGAAAACCTGTGGAGGTGAGTTGAAGCAAGGAGCCTGGCCCCTGGAGGACATGGGAAAGGGCAACACGCATCTAGTGAGGCAGAGACACAGCAAGATTAATTCTAATTTCCCTCCTAGATATTGATGAATGCCAAAATCCGGGGATCTGCAGTCAAATTTGTATCAACTTAAAAGGCGGTTACAAGTGTGAATGTAGCCGTGGCTATCAAATGGACCTTGCCACTGGCGTGTGCAAGGCAGTAGGTAAATGGACTTGGGCGGTGTGGCTCTGGTACCCTACTGAGTTAGTGGTTCTAAAAGATACAGTCGGTTACGGCAGCAGTTAACCTACACATAAAGTAATACCCCAGAGCAATGTACTAAACTCCCAGTGCAGCAGGGTAGCTTAAAGCAGATCAGCTTCCTATGCTTCTGCCTTGGTCGTTCCTTTTGTATAGGGTACTAGCAATAGTCGCCATGTTTGCTTCCTTTCTGCTTCTGAAACTGAGCACAAAGAAAAAAAACCAAAAAATAACTTGTTTATCAGCCACCCTCCTGTCGAGTGCTATAATCTCAGGACTGCCTTCCTAAATAGAGTAGAAGTACTTACAGGACCAAGGGGCTTGAACTCCAGGCTGGGTACCACTGAGATGTTCAGCAGTATCTTTAGAAGTGTTTCTCTGTGGAAAGGAGGTGCCGTAGAAGACCTTGCTTTAAAGCAAGACTAAATCAGCCTGGCTTATATCTTATAGGCAAAGAGCCAAGTCTGATCTTCACTAATCGAAGAGACATCAGGAAGATTGGCCTAGAGAGGAAAGAATACATCCAACTTGTAGAACAGCTAAGAAACACAGTGGCTCTGGATGCTGACATTGCAGCTCAGAAGCTGTTTTGGGCTGATCTCAGCCAAAAGGCCATCTTCAGGTAACTTTCACTTGCATTCCTGGATATATACACCACTGTCATCGGGCCTGTAGAAAGGACTGGGGTAGGGGGTGGGGCGTCTCTTGTTTCTAGTTCCAGTATACCAGCTAGTTAGTTGGAAGTATTAAATCCAACACTATTAAATTGTCATCAGCTGTTACTTAGGAATAAATCATTGACCATGAAGTAAATGTGACTATGCCTTCAGATGACATCTGAACTCCTCATATTTTCTCCCCTTCTATAATTGTGAGCTGTCTTCTCTTGCTACAAATAGAAATGATGGTAGTAGCTTTTCCTCAGTTTAAACTGTAGACCTAGGACAATGGCTGCTGAGTCAAATGTTTTTCTTGCATCTAGAATACATAACCACAATTAGACATGCTACAATATTGCTAATTTCCCATCCCCAAACATCATGGCTGAATAATTTCAGTGCTAAGCTGTAGGTTCCTATACTCTTGATGGGTAAAGTCCTTGACCATTTTATAAGCAGAAAGTCCATTCTCCATGGTCCAATGGTGACAATTTTTAAATTTCTTGTGACCTATTCTGTTTCAGTGCCTCAATTGATGACAAGGTTGGTAGACATTTTAAAATGATCGACAATGTCTATAATCCTGCAGCCATTGCTGTTGATTGGGTGTACAAGACCATCTACTGGACTGATGCGGCTTCTAAGACTATTTCAGTAGCTACTCTAGACGGAGCCAAGAGGAAGTTCCTGTTTAACTCTGACTTGCGAGAGCCTGCCTCCATAGCTGTGGACCCATTGTCTGGGTTTGTAGTCTTTGTTTTCCTTCACTTAGCCTTTTGGGTGCTAGCCACATAGGTTGGGAGCTTTTCTCATGCATCCTAAGAGTGCCAGGAGCAGAATTATCTGTTTCAAGACATCAATGACAATGTTCAATGTCTAGCCCCTCCCTCCCACTTTTCTCTTTACTCCTTCAGCTAATTCCCTTTCTTCCCTTGTCTCATGACTTCATTCTCTCTCTCTCTCTCTCTCTCTCTCTCTCTCTCTCTCTCTCTCTCTCTCTCCCTCCCTCTCTCTCCCTCTCCTCTCTCTCTCCCTCCTCTCTCCTTCTCTCTCTCCCTCTCTGTCTCTCTGTCTCTCTCGCTCTCTCTCTCACACACAAATTTATCTATAAAATCTAGGATCTACAAGTAAGAAAAAAGATGTGATATTTCTTGGAGTCTTACTGTGCCTAATTTGATCACCTCCGGTTATCTCCGTTTTCATGAAAATGACATAATTTCCTTCTGTATGGTTAAATAAAACTCCCTTGTGTATATGATGCACTTGAATGAAATATCTACTTGAAACCAATCACAACACATAATGAAGGTATACTAATAAAAAGAAAAATGTCATGAGTGACAAGATACAGAGCAATCCTGGGGCAACCCTTGTGCGTGACGTGCCTCCCAGTCTCACTCCTGATTGTATGGCTGTGTGATGGCATTAGTGATGCTTTAGAGTTCATGTGTGTCATACACCAGGAGGGATGTGTGTGTGTGTGTGTGAGAGAGAGAGAGAGAGAGAGAGAGAGAGAGAGAGAGAGAGAGAGAGAGAGAGAGAGAGAGAGAACGAACACCTTGTTGGGTTGGCTCACTCTGCGTAGTCAGACCTAGGATTCACAGAAAATACTGGTATTTGCATAACCCTGTCCCCTCAAGGCTTCCATCTAAAAATACAAATTGTGTGAAAGCTCAATGGAAAGGAACAGACTTCTGTCAAAATATTTCACTAAGGCAGGCAACTTAGAAAAAGTCAACTGTAGCCATCCCAGTTGGCCCCTGTGAAATCATTAGAACATAATCCCCAAACTCCTCCTATAGAGCTTACAGAAAATGCCTCCTTCATGGATCTGAGCGAATGTGCCTTTAGACAGGAAATGTATAACCCTGGGACTTTGGTAGACACTTACACATCTACCAACACAGACTAACACAGTTATAACACGGAAGTTACATTATTGTCTCCTATAGTCCTGAGGAGTAGACCCAGAGCCTCACATATGGTAGCCAGGAGCTCTACCACTGAGTTCGCCTCCAAGCCTTGTGTCCTCACTGTTCAATTTCATGCACTCAGAACAGAATTAGAGCCTTAAGCATCAGGATCTATCTTGAGAGCCTCAAGCTCAAGAGTTTTGCGCCCTTTTTAAGCCTCAGATTTAAGTCACAGCTTTCTTTCTTCTTGGCCACTAAGGCACATTTCTGATTTAACTCTCCCAGCTTTGTTTACTGGTCTGACTGGGGCGAGCCAGCTAAAATAGAAAAAGCAGGGATGAACGGATTTGACAGGCGCCCACTGGTGACTGACGACATCCAATGGCCTAATGGAATTACACTTGGTATGTATGTCCTTCTCCCTCCCTCCCTAGTTAATTACTTTCACCATGTTTAAGCAAATGCCCATTGTACATTTGAGATGATACTTCTAGTTCCATCTATAGCTGGAGAGAGGGGCTCAAGAATCATGGTGGACTTAACAAATTGCAGGAACCAGGATGGCTGGTTTGTCATCTAGTTGGTCTAATATGCAATGGACTCTCAGTGAATCTTTGATTTTGGGGATTTTTCAAATGGAATGCCACAGGCATGGGTATCTTAGCCTTCCCTAGGTGGCAACTTATGACTGTTTCCTTCTGAATTATCTAGGAAGAAGTGCAAAATACAAGCCTTTTAAAAAAGCTATAATGTAACAGATCCCAAGTCAGTGACTTTGAGAATCTTAGAAATCCCATTGGCCCCTGCAGAAAGAATGAAGTTAGTTACAGGTTCTGTTGCTGGCTTCACAAGAATTATGGTGTCCCATTAAGAACTCCTGTTAGAGAAGAAACTGTAAAACAGAATAGATTCTTTAGATAGTTTTAAATAGAAGCCAGAGCAGCCACAGTTCATATTGTGTCAATTATTTTCTTGCCTAGACCTTGTCAAAAGCCGCCTCTACTGGCTCGATTCCAAGCTGCACATGCTGTCTAGTGTGGACTTAGATGGTCAAGATCGGAGAATAGTGCTCAAGTCTCTGGAGTTCCTAGCTCATCCGCTTGCACTCACAATATTTGAGGTAAGACGTGGAACTCACATCTAAGTGGACACTTTTAGAACAGGTGTGTGGGAAGAGGAAGGAACAATGCACAACTGAAAAAAATTTACCTAAAGACTGGTACATACTAGACACTTCCTCAAAGAACTTCAAGAAACCGGAACTTGCTTCCCTTACCCTTTATACTCAATATCCCAGAGAATCATTCAATAACCTTACCCTATTACATGGTGAATAAATCATATAGGACTTCATTTGTGACAATTTCAGATGTACATGCTAATTTTCAGAATTCTGTTTTAGGATCGTGTCTACTGGATAGATGGAGAAAATGAAGCAGTGTATGGTGCCAATAAATTCACTGGATCAGAGCTGGCTACTCTAGTCAACAACCTCAATGATGCCCAAGACATCATTGTCTACCACGAACTTGTTCAGCCCTTAGGTAATGTGAAGAAACCCACTCCTTAATGACCATGCTAAAGGAATAGTGTGATCTACAAACCACTACCTACTAGCTCCTTAGCTTCTCAACTTCCTTTAAAAGGGAACCTTTGTCCTCTTGAACTCTAGGCCAAACTCCACATTTGATATCTCATTCCAGCCATCTTGGAGAAAAGACTTCATGGTCAACTCTTAGCTCTTTTCAACCCTCAGTGGCATAGCTTTCTTCTTGATTTCTTCTGGGTCTCCATTGCTAAGCCTACTGTACCAGCTTCCACAGTAGGCTTCAGATCATGGATACTCCTCAGGATTAGTTTTCTAGGTTTACTGTAGCAAAGTACCACAAACTGGGTGCCTTAAACAACAGAAATTTACTATCTCACAATTCTAGAAACTAAAAATCCAAGGTCAAGGTTTTGGTAAGTTGGTTTTTGGGAACTTGAGGGAAGACTCTATCCCATACCTCTCTTCTTGGCTTAAAGATGTCCATTTCCCCCATTTTTTATGTGCTTATGCTCATATTTCATCTTCTGAGGACACTGGACATTTGGGGTTAACACCTGCCATAAAGACCCCATCTCAACTTGATTACCTCTGTCAATACCATATCTGCAAATAAGGTCTCATTCTAAGATATTGGCAGTTAAGAATTCAGTGTGTGCGGGGTGGTGGTGGCACACGCCTTTAATCCCAGCACTCGGGAGGCAGAGGCAGGCGGATCTCTGTGAGTTCGAGGCCGGGCTGGACCGACAGCCTCCAAAACAATATAGAGAAACCCTGTCTCGTAAAACAAACAAAAACAAAACAAAACAAAAAAAGAATTCAGTGTGCAAATTTTATAGAGACACAGCCAGTAACACCTATTCTCCCCCATGGCATAGCTCCTGCCCAGAATACTGACTCACCTACCTAAGGAGACCCTCACACCTCCCTGTGACTGAGTTTCCTTCTACTTTGTAGGGATTAGTCAGTATAAAGCCAAGAAAGTGTGACTTGTCCCCTTCTTCTGAGCCTTCACTCTAATTTTTGAACAAGCTTTTTGAGCCAGGCCTGGCCCCTCACCTCCCTTCACACCAACCTATGGAAGATATAACTCTTACTCTACTTCCAAGAAACCTCTAAATCTGGTTATCTTTTAGTGTGTGCTTCCAATACATTGATTGATACCCATTCAACATTAGTGATGTACATTCTTCATGACTGTTAGTCTCACTTGAAGGATTGGCAGAGTAGACAAAACTAAGCTCCATGGAGACTACAGATAGTTAACATTGCAATGCCTGTTTTAAAGGACCTTTTGCCCCCAACTAGGTAAAAACTGGTGTGAAGAAGATACGCAGAATGGAGGATGTGAATACCTCTGCCTACCAGCACCACAGATTAGTGACCATTCTCCGAAATATACCTGTTCCTGTCCCAATGGGTACAATCTTGAGGAAAATGGACGAGAGTGTCAAAGTAAGGCTTTCTACATTTCAACCACAAACAAGACATGTAGCAAGCACTGTAATGCAGTGGCTACGACAGCTTGTTTTGATTTCAGAAATTCTGTTGTAGTTAGCTTTGAAATCAGTTTTAGAATATTATAGTTATTAGTGTTATTGTTTTATGGCAGGTGTTTATATCACGATTTTGGAGCTGACATGTGTCCATTTCAACATCAAATGAGTTTATCAGTGACTAAAGTGCCAGTGTGCCACACATTAGTTTGTACTGATTGCTCTGTAACACCTTTATCTAGCCAATTTTCAGGTAAAGTCCTCCACAGAGGGCATAATGAATCCTCTGAAGACATCTGAGGAAGGAGACCGTGGTTGTAGAATCTTTACTGACCTCAGTAGATGATGCAAGGTTAAGCTCTTACATAGTCTGGACTTGAGTTTTAGTATTTTGTTACCAGCTTTTGATTAAGCAGCAAGTTGAACTTGCTGACTATAAGCAAGGTGCCTAAAGTCTCATGGGTTTCTAGCTTTTGCTTGAAACTGGCTGTTTCTCTCCATTCAGATACATCCACTTTATGGCCTAGTTCTGCAGTGGGTTGACTCTTTTACCTGGACTTAAATAACCTTTCATCATGACTTCTCTGGACTATGTGGCCAGCCACTCAGGAACCTTAGCTTTAACCAGGTTCTTGGTTTTTATAATCCAGGTACTTCAACTCCTGTGACTTACAGTGAGACCAAAGATATCAACACAACAGACATTCTACGTACTAGTGGACTGGTTCCTGGAGGTATTGGGTCCAGTACTGCAAACAGTTAATCTCAACTAACTGTCGCTTAAATAATTAATGCAGCCTTTAACTACTGGCACTGCCCCAACAGGCTACTTGTGCCTAAAGTCCAAAGACTTTGGAACCTGCATATCCTGGATTTTTCTGACTTATTTAAACCTGTTGGCAAAATGGCCATGTAACTCAAATAATTCTAATCCTAAATTCTGGTATGAAATTATAGTGTCTACTAGAGAAAAATAACAGGTACAAAGGTGTGAGGATCTCTACCAAAATGGGTAGATTTCTAAGTCTTAACTCAAATTCTAATAGACTGATTCCTTGTATGTCCTTGCAGGGATCAATGTGACCACAGCAGTATCAGAGGTCAGTGTTCCCCCAAAAGGAACTTCAGCTGCTTGGGCTATCCTTCCTCTCTGTAAGTAAATTCACTTCCCATGCATACCTCACAGACAGTTCTAGTTTGTATACAGCTCCTTCCTGTGATCTCCTATGCTATCATAACACATGAGACACTGAATTACATTCACTCCCTCAACTCTCTGGTACCTACTCTTCAATGGCATCTATCACATGACAATGGACACCAGTGAATACTCACCAATTGCCTACAGGTCTTACTGCTTTCTGTGTCAAGCTTGTTAGCCTTGCTTATCCTACGTGGAGGAAGCCCCTTTAGCAAGAGTTCTAGTCCCATTTGTTGTATATTATGATTCGCAAAGACGTAAACAAAGGGTCAAATGACTTTTTGAAATAGTTGAAAAATTCATAAAGGATACATTGGGGGGGCGTGTTGTCTGTTTTGTTTTTTGGTTTTTCGAGAACAGGCTGGCCTCAAACTCACAGAGACCCACCTGCCTTTGCTTCTGAGTGCTAGAATTAGTGTGCACCACCACTGCCCAGCCATAAAAGGTAAATTTAAAGTAATTAAAGATTTTCAAACTCAGGGGAAAGGATCTCCAAAGCCACTTTTGGGCACACTAATTCTAAGGCACTTTGATTTAAAAGCTCCTTTGGCCTAACTTACTGGTTTACTTAACACACCAGAACCACTTGACTGGCACTCCAAAGGCTTCTGTAATGTTCATGAAGTTGGCCTAGGGTTGGGACTCAGGACTCTGTACTCCCGTGGGTGTGTAAAGCTCCAGTGCAAATATTCACACAGCCTGAACTCATTTTCAAAATTTCATCTCATTTGTATTCCAACTTCCATCTATCCAAGCTCCCTAAAACATGAAACATTTATTAATGTTAATTACCATAGATCCATGAATATTAGACTTCACTTGTGATTTCTTTTTCAGTGCTCTTGGTTATGGCAGCAGTAGGTGGGTACTTGATGTGGCGTAATTGGCAACATAAAAACATGAAAAGCATGAACTTTGACAATCCTGTGTACTTAAAGACCACTGAAGAGGACCTCTCAATAGACATTGGTAGACACAGTGCTTCTGTCGGACACACGTACCCAGCCGTAAGTCTGCTTTGTCTGTATTCACTGTGACTTGGCATGAGTCTCTTCAAAGGAGACCAGAACCTCTAGCTATGGGTACCTGGGCTGGGAAGGATCATGAAGTCCCGAGATACTTTATCCACTGGCTACATGTTAGATGCTAACTGTGTAGCCCACTGAAACAGTCAGTTGATAAGCATCTCACCCACAGAGGAAGGCAGGTAAGTCCTATTTGTCATTATTTTAGATTATAAAAATGACATGTGAATAGCAGTACAAACCAACTAGCTTGTTTTTAAACTTCAACTCCTTCCATACCGGGTAGCTAAAGGTAAATCAGGGTGGGCATATGAGGATTGTGTATAGGAGAGTTGACAGAAAGTCAATAGCTTGAGTGAGATTCAATTAGCCTAAAGTATTAAATGCTTTCCTTAGAGAGGTGCTCCATCCCACCCAGGAGAGCCAGCTTTCCACAGGAGCAGCAACAGGAATCCCTTGTTCTTCCCCTCAAAACACAAGTGCATATTTGGCCTCCATTTCAGGACCATGGTGAATGAAATATGCTTAACATTGTCATTGCAAGTTCTCCAAGGAAACATGGAGCAGTGTTCAGTTCATGTTATATGTCTTCACATTTGTTTCCAAGATTTACACTTCTTAAACAGAACCAGTCATGCTGTTTGTCTGTTTGTTCTAACAAGCAGGTACAGATTATGTATCCCTTATTTAAAATACTTGGTGCCAGGAGTGTTCAGGGTTAGGGAATTTTTTTCTTTTAGGGAGCATGGATTTTAGAGTTTTTGCATACATAAAAAGTCTGAACCCAAAATCCATTTGTTTCATGTATTCTTATATATATAGCCTAAGATACTTTACCTGATATTTTATTATATATTCATTTTGACCACAACCAATAGCACAAGGTAAAACATGGAATTTTCTACTTAGAGTGTCATGATGCTACTCAGAAAACTTCAGATTTAAGAACCCTTTTGGGTTTCAGATTTTCTGGCTGAGGACACAAATACAATTCATGTGTCTGGCCTCCCATTTGCTGGGTTTGTGAATGGCCAACTCAAAGTCCGCTTTGAGCTACTAACAGCGAGTAACCACCAAGCTCATGGGAACCTTTTCTTCTCTGCAGATATCAGTTGTCAGCACAGATGATGATCTGGCTTGACCTCTGTACAAGTCTGAACCAGTAGCACCCCACTCCGGAACGGTAACCGAGCCAGCGCTGAAGTCTCCTTTCTTCTGCCCATCTGGAAGAACATCGAGATATCTTTCCGTGGATCAAGTTTGTGTGCTTGAACATTTTTATATCACTTTTGTAAATATTCTTGGCCACACTCTACTTCAGCTTTGGATGTGGTTACCAAGTATCTGTAACCCTTGAATCTCTAGACAGTATTGCCATCTCTGGCCAAATATGCACTTTCCCTAGAAAGCCATATTCCAGCAATGAACCTTGTGCTATAGTGACCCCCACCTGTACATACATTGTATAGGCCACCTGTACATATCCCAGAGAACAATCACTATTCTTAAGCACTTTGAAGATATTTCTATGTAAATTATTGTAAACTTTTTCAATGGTTGGGACAATGGCAATAGGATAAAACGGGTTACTAAGATGAAATTGCCAAAAAAAATTTGTAAACTAGTTTTGTACGTATAAATGAAATCTTTGACCTCTGTGGAGGTTTGCAAAGACTGACTTCAAACTACTGTACATTTTTTTTCAAGTGCTAAAAAATTAAAACACACAGCTTAACTATGGTTTTGATTATTCCTCTAAGATGGACTGGGAACAGCCTGTGTATCACCAAATGTTCTAAACATCTGAGCTATAGCTCTTGGTGTTATATACCTAGCCCATAATTGGCTAGTATCTTTTACAACCAAGTACTAATTAAAGAAATGGGTACCATTTAATATTTGTTCCCCCAAATTTATCACCTTCCTTTCCTTCCTTCCTTCCTTCCTTCCTTCCTTCCTTCCTTCCTTCCTTCCTTCCTTCCTTCTTTCCTGGCCTCAAGTTTGCAATGCTCCTGCTTCAACTTCCTAACTTCTGGGATTACATGTCTGCACCATGACACCCAGCCCACATATTTCTTATTTTATAAAAGACACTGTCTACCAAGAATTCCTTTTGCTCACAGAAGGTTCCTTTTTCCTATTTTTTCACAGTGATCTAGAAACACTTGCTAAGATTCTCATAAGTTCTCATGCTTTGTGTCCATGTTCTGTCATCATTGTAGGTCAAAGACAAGTGCCTTCTACGGCATGGTGAAAGGGTTATTCTTATGACAGCCTGACTTGTCTTACCATGAAGATGGGTAGGAAGGATGGTAGGCAGCATCGGTGTTGAACAATCAAAGTTGTGGCTCTCAGAATGCCCCAGGAACAGCAATATCAGCTGCTAGGCACTTAACAGAGATGAAGATTCTTGGGTCTCACCCCAAACCTACTTAATCAGAAACCCCAGTAATGGGGACCAGGAACTTTTCATGTAGTTCTGATATAACCTAAAGTTTGACAAAAAAATTCTAATATGGCTTCATGGAGACTATAATTGTAGTGTATTTGACATATTGTCAGTCTATAGTATTGGACATGTAGACATGTTTTGCCTATGGGGAATTTGTGGAACTTTGTGTGGAGAACAGATAAGGAGTTGGATACGGAAAGTGATACTGTGCCAAGAGGGGAGTTTTGTGAGTTTTCCATCACATTGACCATCACACCCTTACTCTGGAGTCTCAAGATGCCTACAAGTGAAGAAAGATGCAAGACTTAAAGCACAGACAAGATGCTCTGGTAACTCCACTGTGAGGTGGGCACTGATTCCTTTGGGATGAAATGGCTAAGGCAGCATCTAAAACAGACAAGGTCATTTTGTCTTTATAAATCTTGTCTCTTCTGTAAAAACCCAATAATTAGATAGAACTTACTGTATTTTAAAAGGTACAAAGTCATTTTTTAAATGTGTGCTTAAATATTGATAGAGCATTGTTAAGTTTTGCTAGAGTGTAGTTATCTGGTGACACTGCTACTGAATAGTTCACAGGGATGAGAGCCCTGACCTTTATCACCCAAACAAGATCTTAAGAACTATATGTGAGATGGGTTGATGTAACTTGGCTGTATCTCTAGAGTTTAATAGAGTGGATAATTCATTAAGAGCTGAAATATGAAACATTAAATTCTTAGAAAGGATAGTTATAATTAGACCAGCCTGTCACATGAGGCAACAGTAAGAGGAACCTCAAGGGACTTGAGGAATATCTTCAGGGTGTAGACAAATGTACAGATTTGTAGACCCTGGTGAAGAAATCCAGTCAAGTCTCTGAGACCAAAAGTTTAAGAAGCTGTTGCAAGCTATACTCTCCTTGGCAAGAAGTAGGCCTAGTAGCTCACCAGTTCCCTCATAATATTCTGACAGCTACTTTGAAGATTTGGCACCATCTTGGAGCCTTTGGATCTGGACAAATGGGGCAAAATAATTCTTTGAGGCCTCAACTTGTGCACTTGCCTAGATCCCAGACATCCTTTCTCTTAAACAAGTAGGCAGGTTTTAAACAGCATGGTAGCTGACCAGTTAAAGGGGTTGCTGTTCAGTCAGGAACAGGACAGAAACCTGAGACCCACCTACTGTCTAGCTTTTAACATCACCCCAACCCAAAGATACTGGTGGACTTTCCATGCATCACCTAGTTAAACGGAATTGATTTCCTAGCATTCTTACCTAGTAAAGTCTTTCCTACTGCAACAGTATATTCCCTTAAACCCAAATGAACAATGAGCACCATGCTTCTTCTTTCTCTTGTGGTAAACAAACATATTAAAACAAATCACAGACCCTCTGCTTACTAGATTCAAGAACAAACCAAAACTCTACTCCTGATCCAGAACTTTGAGCCTTTTGCTTCTAAGTCCATGTTTGATCTTCTTTGGAGAGACTGAGAATTGTGTCCCTATTTCAGCCATATCCTAGACCCCTTCAACTAGGCAATTTCAGAAATAGGAAAAAAAGTTTGGGAAGGTGTCTTGTTGCCAAGGAGAGAGGAGATGACTTAGAGGATGAGACAGTTGTTGTTGGGGTTTTATTGTTGTTTGTTCATTCACAGAGGGTCTAGCTCACAAGAGCTTCATAGAAAGGATAATAACCACCATTTTTGTAGGAATCTCATTCCCATCTCCCTTCACCAATAAAAAGCAGAATGCAAGTTAGTAGGGAGCCCTAAATCGAGGTTTGTGATCACATGTCCCATCTCTTTACAGGATCACTTCAGTCTGTTTAGTGTTTCTGAACCTGGTTCATCCAAGAAACAGGAATGAAGCGGGACCACAGACCCAGAGTGCATTTAAGTCTCCCTGTATGTGTATGTGTAGACCCTGGAACACGTATAAGACAGGGAGAATGTGGGGAGCATGGGCTCGGCAGGAACTCTGGGATATCTCAAGAATGGCTTTCTTCTTGGCTGTGCTTGGGGGCAAAGACAGATGGGCAGCTGGACGGGAGTGTTTGGAGTTCTTCATATCATGACAGTAGCATGTATTTCTGACCCAGGTGTGCCAGCTTGGGCAAGTCAGGAACCATCGCTGAAGTATGGGGAGGACAGGGATGCACTGGAGCAATGGGATGGATACAAGAGTGGAGTCCAAGAGCTCAGCACAGTGTCTGGCATCTGGTGTGTATGAGGCACCGTACTGACTATCACTGTCAGTATGTGTTGTTACACAGCCCGAGAACTGGTAAGGGGCTTTCCCAGTGAGCATTGCAGGCAGCCTCACTCACTGAGTAACAAGAGCCTTTCACATTAAATAGTTTTTCCCCATCACACCAAAGTCTGAAGTTCAGGAAGGATTTGACCTCACGCAGGTGAAAAGCCTTAAAGGACGATATGGTTTAAACCTCAGAATCATAGCTGGTATCTATGTATCTGCCTTGGTCTTTGACTGCTTCTACTAGGACATGAAAACATGGATTGGCACCTGCAGAGTGGCTTTCAATGGCTGTCTAAGTGTTTTTAATGACCCTTCAGTTCTTAACATATGCTTAATGTTGTGCTGTGAGCGTTCTCCCATCTTCTTAGATCCTCACAGTAACCACAATAGGCAAGCATCTTCATTCTACATATGTGAAAGCTAAGGGTATAAACCATGTGAGATTCCAAACTAAAAAGACTGCCATGGTCTCAGAAGAGGGTGCTGTCCTGTGCAAACGTTAAACTGGATATCACAATGTATGTTTGCTGAGTCTCCTTTCCCACAAATTGTAGAGCATGTCTGCAGTTTCTCAGTTGTTTTAGATTGTACGTCTAGCACGATGGTGCATGCAACTAGAGGGCCGGCATGGTACCAGAACAACACAATATAATTCGCTTACGCCATGCCTTCAAGGTGCTGGACTTGGTAGCCATCAAGGGATAGCTTTAAACAAAAAGACAGAAATTTGGCACAGGAACTTGGAGATATGATGTCATCCCCTAGCAGAGCATAGCAGGAGAAAGCATGCTACCATACAGCAATTCTCAGTTTCCAAGGCAGTTCACGGAATGTTGGTGCTGTGACTTCAAACCTGATCTCAATGTTCTAGAATCTGCCTAACACCCGGCTGTTTCTCAGTTTATACATACACTTGGGGAGGAAAGAATGTTTTTTAACAAAATGACTGGTTCTCACAAAACTGTCTTGCCTCTTCTAAACGTCACATTTGATACTAACAATACGATTTAAGAGCATGTAATGCCTTGGAGGCACACAACCTGACCATTGCCTTAGGATTGTCACTGTTGTAAAGGCACATGTTGGAACACATCCAGTCCTGCTGACCTGTAGATAATTATTTTTCTCTAAATGAACTGTACATTTATCTAAATAAAAATTTATTTTTGAGATAACTGTTGCAAGTCTACTTCTTCTAGGAACCTTTTGGGAAAACATTTTCTCAAATCTTCCTTCTTGGCTGAATAACTAAGAATGATTTAATTGCCCTTTAAAGAAAACACTAAGAATCATCCAGACCTGAACTGGTCAGGCTAAGATGACCCCTCTCTTGCTACACTGAGAAGGACAGTAGGGCCTCACTACAAGTGACAGTGTATTAGTTACCTCCCCACATCCTCATCCCTGTCCTTCTTCCCATGAAAGAAACAAAGTCAAAGCCAAGTTCCAGAAGCCTCTTGGAGCAGTCCTTCCTCCTGAGGAAGGCTGAACCTGACTGAAGGGATGATGCTCCAGGATGGCAGATAAAACAGGCATTGACAAGCAGGGAAAGGCAGCTCTGCGTTTCCTGCCTCATCGGCTCTTCCAAGGTCTGTCGAAATAGATTTGTGGTAAGGATGAATCTTCATGAGCCTTAGAGTCATTTCACATGAACCTTTTCTAAGAAATGGGCCTCTAGTGCTTGAATTATATTGGCTGCAAAATCTTGAAACTGACTCTGGGAGGAGATAAGTAAATTGGAAGATAGAGAAATTTAAAAAAAAGGAAGACAGGAAGGGGGAAGAAGGGGAGGGAAAGAGAGAAGGAAGGGGAGGGAAGAGGTGGCAGGGGAGGGAAGGAATCCTGGAAAAATTGGTCACTCACTCTAGCGAGTCCTTAATTTGAATGGAGAGAGGCACAACACACAGGACTGCCCCCCCCTTGACTAGCTGTGCTCACAGACCTGCTGCCCATGTACACGTTCCTGAAATCTACCACACGCACCTCCGTAGGTGTCTCAGAAAGAGGCGGCACATGCCCAGTAGATCATTCAGATGACAACTACTGCTATTCTTGCACCATCCCTAAATCATAACCATGACTTTTTCCACATAGAATTTTTAAAATATTATTTTATGTGCAATGGTATGAGGGTGTCAGATCTCCTGGAACTGGAGTTACAGACAGTGGTGAGCTGCCATGTGGGTGCTGGGATTTGAACTCGGGTCCTCTGGAAGAGCAACCAGTACTCTTAACTGATGAGTCATCCCTCCTGCCCGTCACTATTTTTTTTTTCAGTAAAGTTAAGATCTTGTACTTGTGTTCACCTAGGGATCTGGTTTCTAGTCTAAAATTTTGTATTAATCTCCCATTTACAAGTGTTCCTTCTTAATTCTCTCCCTGAACACTAGCCTTGGTGACCTTTTCTGCATTCCTAAAGAACAAGATTAATTGTCCTGCACTTACTGGCTTTGCAGAAAGCCTCACATGTGACTTCCTGCTGATTAAAGAATGCAAGTGGTTGCCTAGGGTTCACCAGTTGTACAGTGAGGTCTTTTTCATCAGTTGGGGAAGGCAGGCTACATATCACACCACTCAGGAGGGTGAGGCTAACATACCCCTGGATTAACTGTGCTCAGTAGACAGGCCTTGTCTATAATCTAAGACATATAGAGTTCAGGTCTGAATAACTAGCCCAGAGTAGAGTGGAGCAGAATGTATGTTTTAAGCCTTTAGTCATTATATTCATTTCCTTTAATTAAAAAGATGAATTTTAACTATGTGTAGGTGTGTGTGTCTTGTGTGGGTACGTTCACATGAGTGCAGGTGCCCATCAAAGCCAATGGTGTTGGATTACACTGGAGCTAGAGTTACAGGGAGTTGGGAGCCACCCAACATGGATGATGGGAACCAAACTCAGGTCCTCTGCAATAGCAGTTTAATTGCTATTAAAGAATTCAAAAGCTATTAAATAAAGAATACTTTTTAATTGCTGAGGCATCACTCTAGCCCCTATATTTATTTTCATCCATTCATATGTGACATTTTCTGAGGATCAGTTCCTTAACATTGAAAGGAAATCTTCATCTCAGCCTTATCCCAAATGAATAGGCCTGTGGCTTTCTAAGAGAAACTTCTCAGTGGAGGATCCTGTAAGGTTGATAGCATAGTGTTCTTCCTTTGGGCCTTGGACAAATAGTGGTGACAGTTTCATGGAAGTTTTACAGCAGTTTCAAGATGGCTAGATGGAACATCAATTAGGGAAAAATGCAAAACTCTTTTAATGAAATTAAGCTGGGATATATGGAGCTATGTTTCATGTTACTTTTCCTCATGCACATACACACACATACACACATACACACACACACATCACATCACATCACATCACATGTATTATCCTTATTTCATTTGCTTAGCATGCCCCATGGGTCAAGCACTGTTCTTGCTGTCAGGGAGCCAGTAAGACCATGGAAGACAAAGCCACACTCTTCATGGATGCTCATTTTAGATGGGAGCCAGGAACTGAACAGACATTAAGCCAGGTAGAGACAAGAACTTTGAGAGAAAATGAAACAAACCATGGAATACAGACTGATAGCTATAGTTTAGATAACATGTCAAGGACACTCTCCAGGAAGGTGATTGGAGCAGAAAACCCAGCTGAAGTATGGTGCAGGGCCATCAGGGGATGAGCAAGGTCCTGAGGGAAAGCATGTGTGACTCATCATAGACAAAGCAAGGTAACTTTGTAGCTACAGGAGGCAAAGGTAGAGTGGGAGGAATGAAAGCAGCAAGAACCAAATGTGGTCAACTTCAAGAACAATGGTTAGAACTCAAGAATCTCTAAGGGATATGATATTAGAGGAGGTGAGATAGCAGAAACACACCCAATTTTAAAATGTTTGCTCAGGATGCTTTGCTTGGAGTAGATTGCAGAGACACAAGCACAAAACCAGGGTGTAAGTTAGAGGATAATGACAGTAGTTCTACAAGATGTCCTTAGCTTGGGCAGAAAGCTACACTTCACACTTATTACATGAGGAAGGTATGTGTAAAGGATGCCTCCCTGAATGGATAATGTGGTGTGACACAAATGCCTTCATTCAAGCTCCTATCTCACCTGTGTTCTCTACCTGAAGATACTAACTAGAAGACCCCTAACTGACAAAGGGTGACAGGCACAAACCACATAAACAGAGAAACCTGACAATTCTGTGTGCATTGTGGGAAGAAAGTTAATGGTGCTGCTCCCAAGCCAAAGGGAGTTAGAATCTAGAAGAATCTAGTAGCATCTGAAGCACAAATTGTTACCAGCAGCACAGGCACTTCAACACATCAGCCAGTCCTTTTCTATCTTCCAGCTGAAGTCCTTCTAGGGACACATTTGGATGGGGTCATTGGAGGACAGACCCCCCAGGCCAGCTCTCAAACACTCACCTCTGGAGGCCTGTTTTCTGTGGGTTGATGTTTCCTCTTTTATGACATAGTGGCTTTAGACAGTGGTTTCTGTTTACCCAGCTGCTTCTTGTGTGCCTGCTAGCCATTGGCTCTTAAGAGCTTTAGAGAGCCATCCAAACTGCTTTCTCTAGGAAATGCTAGAATCCTGGCATTTCTGAGTTAAGGGAGATCCTAAGGCACTGAGCCTGATGCTCAGTGGTGGAAGACATGACAGCCTTGGTGGAGGAAAGAACCCATTCTTAAGACTGTCTTCAAGGAGTGTGACAATTTTTACCACAAGTCACAATTTCCGTGACGGCTCATGACCTTCTGATATTAACAAAGAAAAAATAAGAAAGGAAGAAAGAGGAAGGGAAGGAAAAATAAATTAAAAAATAAGAAAGAAAGGAAAGAAGGAAGGAAAGAAAGAAGAAAGAAAGGAAGGAAGGAAGAAGGAAAGAAAGAAAGAAGAAAGGATAATTGTCTAGGAAAATCAAGTCTCCCTAGAATCTAAAGTTTGAAGGATTTTATTTAAATGTGCTAAGACATGAACTAAGTTTCCAAACTGCCACCTGCATGCCACAGATTAGAATCCAAAAGTTAACAAATACTGCATGAAAACAGAAAGCTACTTCCCACACATTAGCTCCAGTACCTGTTTCTGCTCAGAAAAGCAAGCCTGCCTCATGCTATCTCTGGATCTGGTAACCTCCAGGAAGGACAGTACTTAGAATAGAGACTACGTGCAGTTCTCCTCGAAGTTCTTCTCCAGCAGCAGACACAACGTTCCCAACACTCTATGAACTGTCTCCATTAGGAAATAGATAACGATTTCAATGGGCCTAATTAATAGCATCAATTCACCAGAAGTGGCAAGCTAGTTTGCCTGCAATCTCAGGCTCTTGGAAACTCAATGAAACTGAGGTGGAACGGTATCTGCTTTTGCCTTGGCAGAAGGCCTGGGAACATAATGTCCCTGGGAAAGGCGATTTCCATATTGCTGTAGGGATGGGAAATCTTTATATTTACTGGAGAAGGTCTCTGAGCTGAGACTGGGGAGTGGGCTTATCTACAGATACAAATTCTATAAAAAATCAGATAAGGCTGGGAAAAGGGTGGAACCAAAGTGTAGGGAATGGACGTTTGTGCCCTGAGTAAACAGACAAGAGCAATGTGAAATACACACAATTTTGGATTACTCTGTGTGTGTGTGTGTGTGTGTGTGTGTGTGTGTGTGTGTGTGTGTGTGTTAGATGAATCCTTCTATCTCCATACCTCCACAATCCTACAGTGAAATTTACTTGAATGGCTTTTGATGAAAACCATAGCAAGGCCACAGTCCTAGACCTGAGCAGACATGTTAACAGAACAGTGAGGGGACTTACTCACTCAAGAAGCACCTCCAGGGAAGTTTGATCATTTGTGGTTCAATGGCTTGAATACTCATGGCTTGAGGGTGACCTTTACTATAAAGAGTTTAGTTGTTTTGCATATGAAACAAGGCTCATGATGTGAAGTTTTCTTCTTCTGGTCTCATGTCAGAGCTCAGAACATTTCTACTTGGTGTTTAGGGGCTATGAATACACAACCTGTAATCTTGACATGACTTAAAGTACATGGAAGGATGGGTATAGGTTGTATGCAAGTACTACCATCTAAGGAACCTACAAGAAACTCTTCCACCCAAGAAAACTTGTATTGACAGGGGTCCTGGGATATATCCCTGATGGATACAAAGGGATGACTAAAAT